GATATTCTACTCAGACAACAAAGATAAATGTTCCACAGATATTCTACTCAGACAACAAAGGGATAAATGTTCCACAGGGAACAGTTCTAAAGCATCTGAGGAAAGGAAATTTTGTAACTTATTCCGTCGCTCCATGAATTATGCAAAAAAAAATGACACTAATAGCATCATAACAGTCAGGCTTGCACAAACCTCAATGATCGCAGGGTGTTCCAACTTGGTCAGTCTAGAGATATGTAGAAAGCTCTCATACCAAGTGAACACTCATGTCTTCCTTTTCTCCAGTATGCATGGAGTGATCTTTAGTAATGTCTCCTTTTTCATTACTGGATTTCAATAATGACTGCTCGTATGCTTATCGCAATTCAAAATGCAAAGTGTAACTTAACCTTTATAATTATCTAATTAGATGTAAACCACAGTGAAGAAATATTAATTTACTCAACTCTCACTACGAAGATATTTAATTTTGCATTTCTTTATAAAATAAACACCAGATGTTTTAGTTTTACAGTCCACTGAATTAGATATGACCAGCCTTTCTGTAGACTTGTTTTCACTTGCTTATTTAAGTCAGTACATGATTATTACCTGCTAAGTTTATTTCCAGATAGAGGTTACAAACACTGTTCGTGTCTTTCGGATAACGGAGGTTTTTTTTGGCACGTCTGTCAGTTTCTGTTGTCGTAACGCTTAACAACGAAAGTCATAAAGTTTGAAAATAACATTTGAATTTCATTCAATGTTTTAATACGTTTCAAGTAGATAAAGGTTGCTTTTTTTACTATAAACAATGAAGTAAACTGAATAAATGTGGTTTTACCATACGGTTTACTGCAGTTTTATTCATGTTTCATGTAATCTCTTGAAACATTTTAATAAATATTAGTCAATCACAACCTCGGAATCTGCAAGAACATTTTTCTGGTTGTTCGTTTTACAGCTATATATATATTGAGAGACTTCTTACCTTTACCAAAACCTAGTTCTTTTGCTTTCTTCTTACCAACTTCCAACATATCAGGATTTATGTCACAAACAATGACGTGCGACTCAGTTCCTTGTAACATACTTTCGTTGTACAGCGGTTCACTTGGTAATTCAAATGGATTTTCAAGTTCAATATGTTCATCAATGGGCTTCAAATACTGGACGGCTTGTAGAAAACGAAAAGCAACATCACCTTAAAGAAGAGAGACTGAGATCACTGAACAAGATCACACCTATCAATT